ACCTATAATCCCAGCAATTGACCGAGGCAAAGGCATCACAAGTTCAAGGCCAGCTTGAGCTACAAGGTGAGAACATAACTGAAAAACAAAACAATAAAATGAATTAAAACAAAACAAAAGTTTCATTACTGAGAAAAGCAAATGAGTGAAAAATCCATCTAGGTATCAAACTAACCAATCCCTGGCCTGGGTGCTCCTTATATTTTGTTGTTGTTTGTTTTATTCACGAAGCACATCTACTTTATTCACTCGCTGATGGGCATCTGGATGCTTCCATCTTCTGGCTGCTTTACATAGTCATACTGCTATGAACATGGGCTACAAGTTCTTGACTTGTCAGGGCAACAGTGCGACCTCCTGTCTCCAACAGGCACAGTCAGCACTCCTTAAATTTTTTTTATACATTCAACTCTTAAAAATAAATTTCTCTTGCATTTTCAGGAGAAAAATTGGTCACCGAATGGGAAACACAAGTCCAGGCTGAATCAGGTCACATCATCTTCAAACGCTGAGGCCAACGTAACAAAGGGGACGAGGGGGCCGAAGGAGTGTAGGCGGCACATGCCCAGGGCTTCAGCGGAGCAACAGTGTGCTCCAAACCCTGCAGCCCAAGGGCAACAGGTACCACCTCCCGTGCCCACTGTCCTTGAAATCCTGAGGAAACTATGGGATGCACTCGGGCAGACAGGGAAGCCAGCCGTAGCAATCTACAGAACTTTGTCAAAGCATCAGCGCCGCTCAAATCCTCGGAAGCCCTTTCCACAAAGGAAACATGAAAAGGAACTTAGATGGCATAAAAGTTCAGTTAATTATGAACTTATTTGGATAAGTTTTGAGAATGGAAGAACACAACCAGAAAATGGTGTTTCTTTCTCTTCTCCTTAATTGAATACTAAGCACAGCAAGCATCTTAAGGTTTATAAAACTTCAGAACACAGCAATATACAGATTCCTGAGGAGCAGTTACTACTATGAGGTAAGCATGGTTTACTCTATATGACAAATTCCTATTTATGAGTATTTCTCTTACCTTTTTCTATTTCTCTGAATGACTGCTTTGTTATTTTGGAGGCACCATCTCTATGATCGTCTTCAATTAATTCTTTTTCTGTTTCCCATTTTTTTAAATTATGAAAAGAATCCAGTTCATCATCTAGGCTTTAACAATATATATATCAGAATCCAGAAGTTCACTATAACAGCTGACAAGAAAAGAGCTGCTTTTCAGATGGCGATATCACAACAAATGAGGAAAATGTAAAAATCATTTTAAATACAAAAAATACACATATGAAAAGCACAAACTAAGTGAAAATCTTGAAAGCCCACTGCAAGTGTCTGCCAACCTTTTCTGCACATTAAACAGATGTAATTTAAAACAGTTTAAAAGATGTATAACACTCTGTGGCTGCCAAACTCTTCTGAATCCCAGTAATTCCGATACAACAGGCATTGTTATCTACAGTTTGATTAGAATGGTTAGCAGTTCCTGTACAAGCCAGAACCAGGACCTCATGTTCTGAGGTCACCTCAGGGCAGCACTGCTCACAAGGAACGGAATATAAGTTACAGACACATTCGGTCATTCTTCCGGTAACACACTAAAGACATTAAAAAGAGGCAAGACTTCCACCGTATTTTTCACTATCACAGTACATATAAAATGTCACTTCACCCCAGAATGAACGTAAGACGCGAAGGTTGTTATGGTTGTGTATAAAGTACCCTTAAGGGCTCCACTGTTGACATCCCAGAACCCCTGAATGGCTGGTTTACAAGTGTGCTAATTTCATTAA